AACCCTAAACCCTAAACCCTAAACCCTAAACCCTAAACCCTAAACCCTAAACCCTAAACCCTAAACCCTAAACCCTAAACCCTAAACCCTAAACCCTGCTCGCCTCGCACCGGGACCCCTGCGGAAAGGGGGGGGGGGGGGGGGGGTCCGAACCCCCCCCCCCCCTTCAAGGGGGGGGGGGGGGGAGGGGTTCCGAACCCCCCCCCCCTTTCAAAGGGGGGGGGGGGGAGGGGTTCGAACCCCCCCCCCTTAAAGGGGGGGAGGGGGGGGGGGGGGTTCTCGGACCCCCCCCCCCCCCTTAAGGGGGGGAGGGGGGGGGGGGTCCCTGAAGCACACCCCCCCTTTTGTGTCTTCCAGGTGATCCACTGGCGCTCTTTCATTGTCGAGGGCACCATCATTACCGGGATCGGATCCCAGTGACAAACTTCGCATGACGGCCCCAGGGTTCCCGTATACAAATACCAATAATGCTTGACTCCGTGCATCTGCGTTCGAGCCCTCGCAACTGCAATCGGAAATGTGTGCGCGGATCTGATCGCGTGTAGAGGCAAGCTTCGAACGGCGACTCCGGAAGATCTCTCGATCATATTGCCATCCAGTGCTTGACTACATGACTTTGCTGTTCCGTCCTGGCAGCTCCCTTCAATTACACTGGCATCGAAACCCTAAACAGCAACGCCGCACAAGACGAGACCTGGTGAGTCAACATCGGCATGCGCGGCATGGGTATGGCACAGCACGCGGGCACGAAACCGCACGCCCACAGCACGCGCACGGGCAAGGCACAGCACGCGGACAGGCCACGGCACGCGCACGACAGGGCACGTGGTCGATACATGTCTGCCTTTTTGAACCCTGGGCACGGCAAGGCACGCGCACGCACAGGCACGGCACGGTACGCGAGCGACACGTTGCTTCCGCCCCAAAGCTTGGGCGCAGCCCTGCTCGAGCACGGCACGCGGACGGCACAACTTTCATAAGTATCATATTCTAGAACTTTGGCACGGCACGGCAGGGGCACGCCACGGCATATTCCCTCGCAGACCACCAATGGGGCACGGCACGAGCATGGCACGGGCACGGGCGCGGCACGCGGGCGGCACACGTGTTCGCATCGAAGACAGTGCTTGAGCACGGCACGGCACGCGCACGGCACGGGCACGCCCCGGCACATATTCGCACATACTAGAACTGGAGTGCACAAGACGGGCACGTGCACGGCACGGCACGCGAGCGGCGCACTGGGTTCTGGCTCTTTCAACGTAATCGCAAGGGGGCCCCATACTGCCCTACTGCATTCGCTGTCCAGGGATGTTCGCTCGACCGCATTGCGATGTTCTGGAGTAGAGATCCTGCGAATGTGGTGCGTCTGCACGTCTTGCCTCGGCTCGACCGTGTCCTCTGAATGCTACCAGTGCGCTAGCGCATGTGTGTTTGGGAAAAGCTCCGACAAACTGGACTGGCACTGGTGCCCAAAATCTGCTTCCAGCCGTACCTACGGTGACCCATGGGCGTCCAGGAGGCTTGGAACTGTGCTGTGAACTCAGAGCACCTCTGGTCAGGCACCGAAGGCCCCTCTCCTCGGGCTGCTCTACCAAGCACACGGACGTAGACACACATGCATGCGCGCAGGCAGAAGCGGGCACATACAGCCAACACGCTGACGAAGAAGCAGACACAGACACCGACTGAGATTATAGACGGATACGGGGAAGGACAGAGGATGGATGGATGGATACTCCAGCTGAATGCCACAGCGTCCGTCTCTGGATCACCTGAGGCTGTGTGGCCGTGCTGTCGCCGCCACGGCGGGGGCTCGTCGAGAGAAGAACAGAGCAGGCAGAGGCAGAGGAAGCCGCGCGCATGTGAAGACATCTGTCGCCCAGGGCTGCGAGCGCCCCCCCCCCTGGCACAGTGCTGATCCCCCTCCCCCCCCCCCGATGGATGAGCCCCCCCTCCCTCTGTGGGTGCGGGGCGGTGCTGCGGTGGCTCCCCCCCCCGCGAATGTGGGGTGGCGCGGCAGCCTCCCCCCTGAGGGGGAGGGGGTCGGCATCGGCATCGACAGCGTCGTCGTCATGTCATCGTCGTCGTCAGCGTCGTCGGCGCCGTCAGCGTCGTCGCCGTCGTCGTCGTCGTCGTCGTCGTCGTCGTCGGCGTCGGCATCGGCGTTGGCGTCGTCGTCTCTCACTGCCTCTCTATTCTTAAGTTGCGTTAGGACTGGTGGTCGTGGTCGTCGTCGTATTCGTACCCGTGTTCGTCGTCGTCGTCGTCGTCGTCGTCGTCGTCGTCCCCCACCCCATCTGGGGAGGGGGGGTGGCCGTGGGGCCTTGGGACCCATCCCATCTGGGGGGGGCCGTTCCCATCTGGGGGGGGCCGTTCCCATCTGGGGGGGGGGGCCGTGGGCCCGGAGTCCAGGAACATATGTCCTGGCCCAAGTACTTGGGCCGGGACAGGCGTAGAGACGAACACTCACACACACAAGCAGAGACAGACGGGCGGGCAGTCGGGCAAGCAGACGGAGAGGTGTGCATATGCCTACCCACTGAGCATGCTCAGGCTGGTGGGCGAATACCAAGACTCAAGCATGGCAGCACAATCCCCAAGGCACATGCAACCACGACGCACCCGTCGACAAGAGGACCACGTCGGACGCGCAACGTGCGAGTCGAAAAGCTCGCAATCGCACGTCTGCCCCCCCCCGGAAGAAGCACACCTGTTGGCAACAGCAACGTTGCCGCGATACGACCGAGAAGAGCACACACACACACACTTTTGATTCGCGGGTCGAGAGCGCACCTCTTCCGGTCGAAGCAAAGCGGGCCGCGCAGAGCTTGAATTACGCAGAGAAGGGGGAGGAGAAGGGGGGCGCAGCCTCAGAACGAGGCCGGGAGGAGGCAAAGCTTCGGAACCAGGCGGTGTCGAAGTCGACGAACTTGCCAAGGAACACAAACACAGACACACCTATACGTCCAATCATGCGCAATCGGAAGGCCGCGCGGCCTTCTTAGATCGACGCTGGACCCCCCGGCCCTAGCGAGCTCCGCGCGCCGGGGGCGGTGCGGGAGGCGCCGCCAGGGGGGGGGGGTCCGGCGCCGACCCAGGCAGTCCGCACAAGCGTCCTTCATGGTACACGTCGGTCGGCAGAAGTGTATATATATATATATATATATATACAGTGAAAACGTATAGTAAGGACGCGTGGTAAGGACGCAAGAGCCTTGGAGGCCGAAGTTGAAGTATTCTGGGCGGCAGGCGGCCAAAGCCCCAGGGAACCTGAGAAACTGGCCTGCGAAAATTGCTAGGGACGGGCCGCAGAGGCTGAGGCAGGCAAGGACCCAAGGGTGCCCTTGAAAAAGTCGTCTGTCCTTGATATGCGCGTTGACTGTACACGTCGGTCGGAAGAAGTACCCATCGGTTGGAAGAAGTAGGTAGAAACATGAAGTAGGAAGGCGTTGGAAATAGATTGGGTTTCCGCCCCGCCTCCTGAAGAGGAGGGAAGAGGGAAAGCCACTCGACTCTTGAAGTAGGAAGGCGCTGAAAGTAGATGGGAATCTGGGAATCCAAAAATACCTCCTTTCAACGACCGATGGGTATATAGAGAGGCAGGAGGTAGGAAGCCAGATAAAAGTAGATTGGGTTCAGGCCCTCCCGCAGAGGCACAAAACCTAGCAGAGGCAGATCGACTCTGGAAGCAGGCAGGCGCCCAAAATGCATCGGGATCCGGGAATCCCAGACGACCCACTTCCAACGACAGGCGTGCAGGATTGTGCCCTTGGCGGGCAGCAGAGGGGCTTGGCCTGGAGGCCTCCAACAAAAAAGGGGTCCGAGCAGATGGCGTCGGAAGATCGCCCTGAATGGGCGATGCATCGCCGACGCACCTTGACGTCGGCGTGGAGAGAGTCGGGCCCCAAGTCGAGTCGCAAAAACGATTCAATGCGTCGGCGATGCGGAACAATCCGTAAACCTGGTATGCTCGACCCCCGCTTGTTTGGACGCCCGAACTGGGTACGAAGAAACTGGGCACGATGCCCCCCGACAAGTGCTGTCCAAAACCGACAGCGACTGCTGTTGGGCGGGCGGCTCCTCCTCTTCAGTGGACAGCGTCCGCGGCGGCGCGGGCAGCGAGTCCTGCTCAAAAAACGAGCAGGAGCTGTGGACGGTCTTCGTGCCCCTTCTTTACGTGATTGCTCAGTCCCACCGCCTCGAACATGGGAGGCCTGGAGAACCGCGGTGCCCCTCAACGCAGGGACGGGAGAGCCCAGCATCGAATCGCGCAGTCGAACCGGCGATCGACAGGAAGCGGATCGGCGGAGCTCCGCAGCCGAGTCGGGAGAAGTCGAGTCGGCGGAACTCGGCAAGCTGCTGCGCCTCCGTTGGGAAATCGGCGTCCGCAACGGAATCCGAAGCCGAGCCGAGTCGGAATCGGAGGCCATCGAACTCGCATCGAATCGAATCGAATCGGAGTCGAAGTGAGCCCTGAGGGGGGGGAAAGGGCGCCCAAGGAGCCTGCTTCAGCAGGCCGAAGACGGCGGCGGCGGCGGCGCACCGCTCCTGCTCCGGCAGCGCGCAGGCCTGGGAGGGGGCGCGGCCCCAGGGGAAGGTCCCACTCCTCCTCCTCCTCCTCCTCCTCCTCCTCCTCCTCCTCCTCCTCCTCCTCCTCCTCCTCCTCCTCCTCCTCCTGGATGTGGAGGGTTGCGACGGCCCGGGGGCGCGCGAAGAGGGGCCCGCGACAGGCCAGCGTCCCCCAAGACGGCCTCCAAAGGCCCAGGGACCCCATCCGAGGCCCCTACTGAGGCCCCCAGGAGGCCCCGCAGAGGCCCCCTAAGAGGCCCCGGAGAGGCGCTCCACGACGGCTGGGAGAACAGATCGTCCAATAGCTGGGCCAGACGTTGGCCCAACGTTTAGCCGCATGGGCGTTTTCAAAAGGCAGGGGGCGGCGATTGTTCACAGTAGGCGTCTTCGATAATCAGCATCAGCGCAGGGCTCTGAGAGCATATGGTTGTGCAGATGCGTCTTCTTCGTCCTCGGGCAAAAATCCGCCGACCCCTTGGGGATCATCGGCGTGTGAGATGCTTCCCCCTCCCCAAACCCCTCCCCCGGGAGCCCGGTCCGGTCGATTTGGAGGGGGGGGGGGGGGTCCGGGACGAGCGCAGCACGGCCGGGACGAGCGCAGCACGGCCGGGACGAGCGCAGCACGGCCGGGACGAGCGGTTCACGGGGCTTTTCCGGGCCCAAGAGGGCCTCAAGACGGGCCAAGAAGCCCCCAAGAGGCCTCCAAGACGGCCCACGAAGGCCCCGAGACGCCAAACGACCGCTCCAAGACGCCCAAGATGGCCCCAAGACGGGCCAAGAGGTCTCCAAGACGGCCCCCGAGGTCCCAAACAAGCCTCCCAAGAGGGCCCCAAGAGTCTAAAATTGTTGATTTTCCATAGTGTTTTCCGATGTTTTTTGCTTTTCCGCCTTTTCGGCTTCCCGACGCTCCAAGACGGCCAAAGAGGCCCCAAAGACAGCCCCAAGATGGCCCAAGAGGCCCCCAAGACGGCCTCCAGACGGCCCAAGACGGCCCCAACACGGCCCAAGAGGTCCCCAAGACGGCCCAAGAGGGCTCCAAGACGGCACCAAGAGGGGCCCAAGAGGGCGACCAAACATGTTGAAACTCTAGCTTTCTGCCCCCAGGAGCCCCAGGGGGCCCCAAGAGTGCCCCAAGAGGCCCCCAGAGGCCCTCACGAGGCCGCCCAGACGCCCCAAGGAACCCCCAAGAAGCACCCCAGAGGCTCCGAAACGGCCCCCAAGTGGCTCCAAAACTCGCTTCCAGAGGCCCCCGAGAAGCGATCCGCGAGATCCCGATACACATACAAGAAGCCTCTCACCCATAACCCATAACCCAGAGCCGTTTCTCCGTGTCCCCCTTCTCCTCCTCCTCCTTTTCCTCCACCTGGGCCCCCAAGTGGTTCCAAACTGCCTGCCATAGGCCCCCGAGAGGCGTGCCGCGAGATCCCGCTACACATACAAGACGCCTTTAACCCATAACCCATAACCCATAACCCAGAGCCGTTTTCTAACCCATAACCCATAACCCATAACCCATAACCCATAACCCAGATTGGCATAAACAAGGGGTCGGCGGTGTGGCGTAAGCCTAAGAATCTGCGACGTCGGGGGAGAGGGAGAGAAGGATGAACATCGTTAAACCGACCTGTTGGTCGCTGTTAGAAGGATTAACCCCCTCGGTGGGGATGCTCGCTGTTACCCTCGAGCTTCGAGGGACTTAGCCCTTCGTGGGGGGGTTGGGCTGGTGGAGCTGAGCTGCCGTGGCCCAGCGGGGATGGTATCGGTCATGGTGGGCTTCTGTCCCGCCGCCACCACCAACAGTAGGAGTGGCAGGGGGTCCTCCTCCTCCTCCTCCTCCCCCTCCTCCTCCGCCTCCTTCTCCCCCTCCAGCTTTATGGTGGTGGTGATGGTGGTGGTGGTGAAAATCAGGCCCATCAGGTAAGCCGATGCTGGAAGCAGGCGGAGGCGGCGGCGGCGGCGGCCTTCGCAAGCTCCGCCCTGGCCTGGGCGCCGAGCTCCCGGCACTCGGCCAGGTGCTCGGCAAACATGCCCCGCCGCGCGCCTACCGCGCGGCGCAGGGAGGGGGACTCTCCTGCTGCTCCTCCACCGCTTGCCCCTCCCTCCCTCCTTGTTCCTCCTCCTCCTCCTCCTCCTCCTCCTCCTCCTCCTCCTCCTCCTCCTCCCCCTTATATGCGGATGTCCCGTCCCTGTCCTTGTCCTTGTCCTTCTCCTTCTCCTCCTCCTCCTCCTCTTCCTCCTCCTCCTCCTCCTCCTCCTCCTCTTTCTTGAGAGTTAAGGAGGGGGGCGAGAACTGGGGGGAGGGAAGAAAGGTGCCTTTGTCGGGCCCTGAAGGCCCCCCCTGGGGTCCTCCGGGGCCCCTGAGGGGTCCCCTTTTCTGCAGCCCTCGCTGCCTACCGTTTACGTCCCCCATTACGCGTGGCCCAACTTTTTCCTCATTATCACGAAGGTCGAGAACTTCTGCTTAAGCGTACCGCGACGGCGGCCCCCGCGACACGCGAATTACGCCTTGCAAGCGGATGGCGTGTCGCCCCGCTCCGCAGAGAGGGGAGCTGGGAAGCGCTCAGCACGTGGACGCCTGGGGACCGCGAAGCAGATACAGCGTCGCGCCGTGGCGTGGTGGGCCGGAACCAATGGGGCAACACGCTGAGCACAAGTTCCCGAAAGTATTCTCCTTCTCGCTCCTCCTCATCGTTCCTGATTCCCCTCCGTCGTCGACGACGACGGTCGGCCACGACCACGGCGACGACGACGCCGGCGACGGCGTCGACGACGACACCGACGCCGACGCCGACGTCGACGTCGACGTCAGCGTCGACGGCGTCGACGGCGTCCACGGCGACGGCGACGGCGGCGCGCCTCCTCGCGGCCGCCCCGCGGCGCAGGGCTCGCGGGGGAGGGAGGGGGGGGGGGGGCGACCCCCGCGATGCGCGGGGGCCCCGAGCGGCCCTGAGCCTTCGAGGGCGGTGGCCTCGATGCCCTCGACGACGTCGACGACAACGAAACCGACATCGTCGGCGACCTCAACGACGACGACGACGTCGACGACGACAAAGACGACGACGATGCCGAAAACGACAACCTCGACGACGACGACGACGACGTGGACGACGACAACGTGGACGACGACAACGACGACAACGACGACGACGACGACCGCGACAACGGCGCCTCGCCGACGATCACGACCACGACCACGACCACGACGACGACGACAACGACGACGACGACGACCTCGCCGACCACAACGACGACGACGACGACATCGACGACAATCTCGACGACGACAAAGAAGACGACGAAAACGACGACCTCGACGACGACAAAGACGACGACCTCGACGACGACAAAGACGACGACCTCGACGACGACAAAGACGACGACCCCGACGACACAAAGACGACGACATCGTCGACGACAAAGACGACGACGAAAACGACGACCACGACGCCTCGCCGACGACCACGACAACGACCTCGACGACGACGACGATGACGACGACGACGACGATTACGACGACCTCGCCGACCTCAACGACGACAACGACGACGACGACGACCTCGAAGAAGACGACCTCGACGACGACGAAGACCTCGACGGCGACGACGAAGACGACGACGACGACGACGGCGACCGCGACGACGACGCCTCGCCGACGACCACGACAACGACAACGAAAACGACGACGACGATGACGACGGCGACCGCGACCACGACGCCGCGCCGACGACCACGACAACGATAACGACAATGGTAAACGACGACGCCGCCGCCGACGACGACGACATGACAGACCTCAACCACGACGACGACGACAATCTCGACGACGAAAACCACGACCTCGACGTTGACGACGACGACGACGACGACGACAAAGACGACGACGACGTCGACGACCGCGACGGCGACCGGGACCACAACGCCTCGCCAACGACCACTACAACGACAACGGCAACAATGACGGCGACGACGACGACAACGATCTCGACGACGACGACGATGGCATCGGCGACGACGACGATGACGACGACGACGGCGACTACGACGACGACAGCGACGGCGACGGCGACGGAGACGGCGACGGCGACGACAACGACGACGACGACGACGTCAACGACGTCGACGACCCCGATGACCCCGACGACGCCGACGACGACGACCTGGACGACCTCGACGACGACGACCGCGACGCCGCCGACGACGACGACAAAGACGACGACCTCGACCACGACCTCGACAACGACAACGACGACGACGACGACGGCGACGACCTCAACGACGACGACGACAACGACGACTGTAACAACGACGTTGACGGTCTCAACGACGACGACAACGACCTCGACGATGACAACCACGACGGCGACGACTACATCCGCGTCCACGACGACGACGACAACGACGACGACGACGACGCTGACGACGGCGGCGCTGACGACGACGACTTCGACGACGGTGACGACGACAACGACGACGACCTCGACGACGACGACGACTACCTCGACGACAACCTCGACAAAGACGACGACGACGACCTCAAGGATGTCGACGACCTCGACGAAAGACCTCAACGACGTCCGCGACCACGACCCCGCCCACAATCACGACGACGACGACGACGACGACGACGACGACGACGACATCAACGACAGCGACGACGACGACGACGACGACGAAAACGCCTACTTCTTCTTCGCCTTGGCACCAGTCTCGGCTAGCAGGCAGCTGCATTCGAAACGGATGGGTGACTTGAAACCTGGTCTGGTGCAGCTGCAGTCCAGCCCGAGTCAGGCAGATGTGCTCGTCCCAAACTTCACATCGGTATGACCTGAGGTCTGACATCGACGACGGCGACGACGCCGTGCCTGACGCTTTTCGGTGTCTCTGAGGGGTCCCCTCGTCGCCGCGGCGGGGCGCGGCTCGAGAAAAAACACGGCCCACGGAGGGCCGCCGGGAGCAGCCATGGGCGCTCGACCACGAGCGCATTTGCTGGCGGGGCGCGGGGCGACGACGACGACGGCATCCGCGCCGAAGGCGGCGGCGACGGAGATGGGGCCTGGAAGCCCCTTCTGTTCGCAGCGCTGGCGGACGCGCACCGCATACGTTAGGAGAAGAAGCAATGACATAAGCATGAAAACTCGGAGGTCCACGCGGGTTTCTCGGATATCGGCGCTGGACCCGCTGGCGGCGCCTCTGGCGCCGCCCCTGGCGCGCTCCCCGCGCCAGGGGGGGGTCCCAGCGCCGATCCGAAAAATCCGCGCGGACCTCCGAGTTGTTGTGTTTATTACCAGCCTGGAACATATCCCTATCCCTATGCTGGGCACCTCCTCATCACGATGCCAATCTTAGGGATTCCCTTATTTTTTGAAGGCGAATCCCTAAGATTGTCATCGCCGCTTGGCGTGTCATCTTTAGGGATAGGGATACGTTCCAGGCTGGTAGGTTGATGTCGTTGTCCGTTGCCCCATCGAAGCCCCTCTTGTTCGCAGCGCTGGCGGGACGCGCACCGCATACGTAGCCCAGGCGGGGGCCGCAGCAGGGCGGAGTGCACGCGGGTCCCGTGCAGAACGGCGTGTGCTGCGCCTGCCACGGCTCGGCCGCCCGTGCCCCCTGCTCCGGCTCCGGCTGCCCGTGCGCGCTTCCTCCGCCCGCACGGGGCTCTCCACGGTGCTCCTCGACGGCCCTCGCCGGCAAACATGCCCACACCTCCGAGCGCTGCCGGCGAAGTGCGTGGTGTTACCAGCCTCGAACGTATCCGTATCCCTGAGATTGGCACGCCAAGCGGCGATGCCAGTCTCAGGGATCCGCCCTCCAAAAAGAAGGGAACCCCTGAGATTGGCATCGTGATGAGGAGGTGCCCAGCGTAGGGATAGGGGCACGTTCCAGGCTGGTAAAATGGTGGCCCCCAGCCGGGCGGGGCAGCAGCAGTGGGGGGCTGCAGAGCGCCTCGGCCCGAACAGCCGGGCTCCCTTTGCGCAGCCGAGGCGCCAGAGGAGCCGGAGCTCGGCCGCCCGGGTGGCGGGGGGCCGAGGCCAGCGGCGCGCGGCAGACCTCGCACCCCCCTCCCTGGCCATCGCTCGGACGTCCACTCCCTGTGTTTGTTTCGGTTCCGTGCGTGGCTTTTTCGCCAAATGACCAAGGATGCTCCTCGATGGTCCTCGCCGAGAAACAAATGCACACGTCCGAGCGATGTCAAGGGCAGACCTCGCACCCCCCTCCCGTCCTCCCGTCCCCCCCCCTCTTTCGGGGGCCCCCAGACGGGGCGGTGACCACACCGTGCGGTGAGTCGGTGGGGATGCGGGGCCCCCGCACGGCTCTGGGGCTCGGGTCGTCCTCCGTGGGCGTCTCGGGCGACTGGAGGCCTACAGGGTCCCAAAGCCGCGCGGTGACGGACCGTGCGGTGAGGTCTGGGGGGATTTCGAGGTCACCGCACGGTCCGTCACCCCACCGTTTCGGGACTCCAAATGTTTAAATGTTTCCCAGACTCCGACCGCGTGGGGCCCGGAGGTCTGGGACCCCCTTGCCCACAACCGCACGTTCTTCCTGAGTCGTTCTTGACTGTTGCGGGGAAGCGGCAGAACAAAAACACTTCCCATCGTGGTGTTCCCCCTGTGTCCTAAGATGGTGAAGCTGTCTTTCGTGTAACGCTGGCAACATCCTCCCGACTGGTCCTCCTTCGTCTCCGTTGCGCTGTTCATCACACTCCGTCGCTAATACTTCCGATCGCTCACACACAAACTCACTCACCCGCATACTCATTCATACTCCGCTCATCCACAGTCAGAGTCACTCATCCCTTAAATCACTCACAATCATGTGCACTCATACCAGACTTGGCCAACTTAGACTTACTCACACACAGACTCAAGCACCCACAAACGGACCACACTCAGACTCAATGTTACTCAGACCCACTCACACTCAGAGTCACACAGACAATTCACATTCAGTCAACTCAAACATACCACACACAAACCCATTCACACAGAAAGACCACTCACACCGATTACTCATATACACTTACACTCAGACTCACTTCAAACC